GTCGGCCAGCTCAGGCAGGGCCGTTGATACATAGCAGGGAGCCAGGTATATAATCAACAGGCCCACTTGAACCCCCTGCCCCCACTTCACAAGGAGGGACTCTCCACCGTCTATCTGAGGCACAGTGGTCTCCCTCGGACATAGATTCTCCCTTATAATGACCGCTACCCCACCACCCCTACCCCGGGTCCTTGGCTGAGGGAATACCTGGAAACCTGGCGGGCAGATGTCAACAAGGGGCACTCCCCCTTCCGTGCCCAACCAGGTCTCGGTGATACCTGCCAGGTCCGCACCCCCCTCTTGGATAAGATCTTGAATGAGGGGGGCCTTGTTTACCACGGACCAGAATGAGTTGCATGATTCCCCACAGTCCAACAACGGTAATGTTGTGAGAGGACCTCAGACAGTGTAGTCCAGGAGTTAACAGTATAGTGGTTATAGTACTCTTATACTTTCTAAGGACACCCAAATTAAAATGATTTTTTTAATTTAGTACTTTAGTTATTTTTAATGGTTAAAATCTTGTAAAATAAATTTACATGAGATCTCAGTGGGTAAGAATGTTAGATTTGGGGGATATTTTGTTTTAATGAGGCACTCATGCCTTTGATTATGGTGTTTAGCTTTTATTATTATTATTACTACAGTAAATATGGGTTGGGCTGAGAGAGAACAATTGGTCTAAAGTCACCCGGCCGGCTTTCATGCCTAAGGGAGGCTTAGAATCTGTAGTCTCCTGCTTTCTAGGCCGGCACCTTACCTAACCTCAATCTATCCCTATCATATTCCTCCTCCAAATTCTCGGAACCCTAAGTCACCATTCTAAAATTACTTCAGATGGCAACTGGTGAGGCAGGATAGAGTAGCGGAGGAAGAAAAACATGTATGATGTTTTGGTACATTATTCTTTGATGCTAATATACATTTCCAGATCCCCAGCATGGAGCGTATTATTCATAGTGCCAAGTGATCAAAAGAGGGACAATTAAACTGGGTTTAAATGCTATTACAGTACTTGAAAAGGAACTTACTCCCTGAGACTAAAGTCTAGCTCAAGTTTAAGAGTTGCTGGAAGAAAGATAAAAGCAATAAGCTTTTTTTTGTCATCTCCCAGTAGACCGTATTTCAGTTTGTTGGTTTCCTGTTGCCGGCAATGGCAAAACTGTCCCGATACGTTGTGCAACATCACGTGACCTAGTTGAAGGCAAGGGTTCTTGGGCAATGTTTTTGTTGCTGGAGACCAGGGATTTTTCACTCTGCTTTATACAGAGAAGTCACACTGTTAGTGGCACCAACTATACCCACATTTTATTATTTATTTTAAGGAATGCAGGAACCAGTTATTAAATGTTGTTAGGATGACCCTGTACTCTACCTATATGCTGACACTGAATTTCTTCCTTTGTCTCACAATTAATGTTTTTGATTGGTTTAATGGCACTAATAACTTTGTAACTATTAGAATGGATGCATTTTAGATGATGGCCTTGTACCTTTGGTTCTTTTTTTATAAGTAAAATTTAAATTGACCCAAGGCAATAGCTCTTTAGTAGATGGAATCTGACTAAAATGGAATTCTTATATCACTAATATCTAGTGCAGATAACTGGGTTATCTGGAAGGGTTGTTTTGTCACATTGTTAGCGCTTAGTCCATCATTCAAGGAATATTTAAGGATGTTGTTTGTTCAAGGAACAGTTCTCTATGAGTTGAATGAAGTTCTGCCCAGGTTTTCATCGTAACATATTTCTTTCTTTTCCTGGTGTGGGGTTTATAAAGAGTGTGCCAGTGGAACTTTGGTGGCCATCTGGGCATGGAAATCAGTCTGGATACAACATGACAGCAGTGTTCATTATGCAGGAAGGATACAAGATCATAAAACATTGGAAGGTAGGTCAGATCTTCTGCTTAGCATTACATATGACATGCAATTGTCTCTTCTCTTTCATAGCCTTTGTGACTGGATTCATAGATTGCACTATATTAATAGTCAAAGGACCACCACATCTTGCAAGATTTTGGCACATATAATATTGAAGTGGATGAGTGGAGCCTGAACTGTATCCCCCTCTCAATTGTACACATATTAACATATTGTCCAGTGTTGCTGAAATATTCCACTGAATATTTTAATATATTCATTTTGCAATCTACCTGTGTTAAGGATAAGGTTGTGGATTGATGGCTACATTGGATGTTAGATTGGACATTCATTCATTCCCCGTCTGTCTAGCAATATCAGCAGAGTCCCTGAAAGGAAGGAGAAAACAAATAGATTTTCTCTTCCTTATGAAAGATCTGACATTTGGGGGATTTTGGAAATTCATCACTTTGTTTCTTGCAGAACATTTGATTAGGCCAATAACTTGGACAGTGAGAAAAATCAGGCAGGTCTCTTGAATGCCTCTGTGGGTTATAAAGATATGATCGAAGATCCCAAATGACGACTAGGTTATCCACTAAGAATATGGTTTCTGAAAGCATTGCATGCAACCACTGGAATATCTCTAGAAATGGCCCCAGGATAGTGATTTTTACCTTTAATGTTCTTTGGTGTTATTTATTACCACTTTGTGCAATAATATTAAGGGAAAGCCCAAAACAGATTAATGATTAAAATATTATAAAATGGTTGTTTCACTATTGCTGTTGTGATTGGCAGTATCTTGTCATCATGGAGTGATTTACGTATTTCTACAATGCCTGTTAAAGAAGTAATACCTTTGTTACTATATAGTGGGTCTTTATATTCTTGAATGGTTATACTTTGGGGATGGAGTGTAAGCTATAGGGAACAGCCTCCCCCAGATTAACTTGCCTTTTCAAGCCATTGCTCCCTAGATATGTTGGGCTGCCATTATCATCACACACAACCAATATTGACTGGGAATTATGGGAATGGTAGATCAACCCACCTGGAAGGAAAAAACTTGCAGAAGACTGTAATCCCAGAACTCACTATATAATGAATTGGGATAATCTCAAATTTACCCAGCTGCTCCTTTAAAATTGCCAGCAAAAGCTTTAGGTTCCTTTTTCTATAGCTGAACTGATGTTTTGTTCCTTGAACTGTAATTCGAATCAGAAATAGTGGCTGGAGAAAAAAAATGTGATCCTTTTAAATCTGTCCTAGTATTTCTATAGTTTCCCTGTGAATGCAGTCTGAGTTGTAATAAACACTTCGCTTAGTTGATTCATTACATTATCCTGAATTTATATTACAATACATTACCCGAATTACCCTGTAAGCAAACTGCATAGATGTTCATAGCAAAAATATATTTTCTTTGTTGAAAAAGAATCAGAAATCAAGCAGAAACCGTAGTATTTTCCAGTAGTGTCTAGTTTTACGATCCTTTTCCAACTGATTCTAATTTAGTCCAGCTCCAAGTCTTTCTTATTTTAAGAATTATTGCAATAAGGTTTCATTATATGTCACATGGTGGTTTTGGGGAGGAAAATATCCAAAACATACATCTTAAAGCTTAAGGTTTTTCTCAAATATGTCCAAATTTTCTTTTTCCCCAGGTTTATTTTCGGACAGTAGATCTGGTAGAGGAACCTATTCCTGACTCGCCCGGTTTGAGTTTTTATTTCAGAATAAATGGACTGCCCATTTTTATGAAAGGTTCCAACTGGATTCCAGCTGATTCTTTTCCTGACAAAGTGAGCTCTAAAATGTGAGTTTGAACAAATGTTTTTTAGATGTTCAGTATAGAAATTTGTCTATAGAGACATGTACTTGATTGAAGGTTGGAGAGTTTTGAAACAGTTTTGAAACAGTTGTGTAGAAATGTTAACGTTTCTTTCTAATGGAATATAAATAAGTCTGGCATTCTAGAAATAAGGTATATTACAGATTTCATAAAGGCGAAGGAACACATTGACTAAAACAAAAGATCTTTTGAAAGGACTGGGAACTTAAAAGGGGCTGATTTTTTCCCCCCATTTGCATTGTGGTGCTGCTGCTTTTTTGAAAGAATGAAAATAATAGTTTGCAAAGATTAATTTCACTATTAGCCTATGGCAACACCCAGAAAATAAGACGGTGGAGATTCTCAGTTATCCAGGTCATGGTCGTCCCAAAGGTGCTCTTTCAAAAAAGAACTGAAGAAGCTTCTCAGATTAGAAGTGAAACGTCTTCAAGGAAAAAACAAATTGTCTTTTGAAAATGTTAGATTGACAGCATCTTTGGAACGACACAGAAAATATGATAGTTAAGTATCTTTCCTTCAGTTCAGTGTTGCTCATGGAATAATTCAATGCCAAAATATAAAAAGCAAGATCACCATTGAATTACGGTATGTGCATGCTTTCAAATGAAATATTTGCTACTTCCTTATGTTTTTCTATAGGGTAGCATTTGCTGCTCAGTAAGATTGAACTCTCACTTCTTCTTGATAGGTTACGCTTCTTATTGCAGTCAACAGTTGATGCCAATATGAATACACTTCGAGTTTGGGGAGGAGGCATATATGAGCAAGATGAGTTCTATGAGATTTGTGATGAACTAGGAATCATGGTAAGTCCCCCAAACCAGCATATGTTAGCAGCAACTGACCTCAAATGTTTAAGCATTATTTTCTGTTTAAATTAAGTGTAGCCTTTGGCCACACAGCAGTTGCCTGTCCCTGTAGTAAAGCCACAGGTAACAGCTTAAGCCATGGGATGGAAGGTGAAGCCTACTGGAGCAGATCTAAAGTCTAGCACAGGGGTAGGCAACCTTGACTGGCTCAGGAATTCTGGGAGTTGAAGTCCACGAGTCATAAAAAAGCCAAGGTTGCCTACCCCTGGTCTAGCACTAACACACCAGTGTGGGGATGCTTAGCCAGATTAATGAGTATATTCTTCTCATGTACAGCAGCTTATGAATATGTTGAAGAAACAGAAAAATGCTTTTAGTTTACTGAATCTATGCTCATGTGGTAAAGATTGCACATTTAACAGTTCATATGTCCCTCTACTTTAGAAAATGGAACCAAAAGTAACTAAGTAAAAAAATGCAGAAGTAGGAAAATGAGAAACATGAGGAACTGTTCATGTTTCCTGTTTAGTTTTGGTCTTCTTGGTATCTAAAATATGTGTGGCTTCTAACCTGTATTATTACGGTACTAAATGCTCACTGTGGTGGTTCTTTCTGTCTTCTGAGATATGTTAAGACCAATAGAAGAGAATATGTGTAACTCAGGGTTCACCTGTGGAATCCTTGGTGCTTTCTGAGCTTGGTTGTTTGCTTGCAAATATTTTGTTACCAGACTAGGTAACATCTTCAAAAAATCTGATAGCAAAACATCTGCAATCAAACAACCAAGCTCAGAGAGCACCAAGAATTCTACAGATACGTTAGGGCCCAAATGCTGTAAAATATAGTTTAGGAACCAGAAGATAATTGAAAATTTTGGACTATTTTGAAATTTCTTATTTTAGGAAGCTAATAATAATTTTTCTTAACCTACACATAGAGTTCTGGCTTGAACACAGAAAGTTTCAAAACCCATTTTTTTTAAAATAAAGAATGTGTGCCTATGTCTGTGTGTACGTGTATACATACTTACATACATACATACATACATGCACACACACACAGAAGTATGATTAGGAGAAAGACACCTGCTTGAAACTGCAGATAAACAGTATCTGCATAACCTTGAGTTATAGCCTATAAATTCATTTTCTTAGATTTTCATTAATGATACAGTCAGGTGAAATTTCAGCTCCCACCCTGTGCTCTTTGGATCACATCCAGATACCATTATTCTTCTTGCTCTCCCCTTCCTCTAACTGTCCCCTCTAGCAAAATTGAACCTGGTGCAAAAAGTGTACAGTTTAGCTTAAAGAATTTAGAGCCTGTTTTGCATTTCACATCTCATTCTTTTTCCGTGCAAAGTCCATACTTGATTACCTGAAGTCTCTGTTATTTCAGAGTAGTATCTGTGTGTGTATGTCTGGGTGGGGATATGTACTTTTGGTTTTTCTATAAAAAATAATTCTGCTGATAATTTGCATTTGTTTTGTAAGGAACAATCATTCCAAGGAGGGAATACTGGGACAAGTATTCACAAGCTCTTGTCTGTTTTCTGAATGTGTGGCTTCCATTGAATGTAAATCTCAATCCAGTGTTTTATAACTTTGTTTCCTCCAGATATGTTGAGTGCCAACTCCCACAAATATGGAAAAATCTGGGAGTTATAGTTTCCAGACATCTAGAGGACACCAGATTGGGAATTGCTGCCTTAGGCATTTTTATTTATGTTGGTATACTATCCAATTGCTTGTTAAGGAAACAACCCATGTTTACCTTTTTGTATTCAGGCTAAAGACTATGATGACTGCAGGATGGCTGAAAACAATTAGGCCATCATTTTTTCATCATTATTTTATATTACTATATGTAGAGTTTTCTTCTTTATAATGCTAGTATCTCCCCAAATCACCCCAATTTTGTTCAGCTACAACAAACCTTTATTGTACTTTTATTACATCTTCTGTACTGCAAACCTGCAGTGCTGTACATACCAATTAGAAACAAGTTCTATATTCAGACGCATATTTTCAAGAAAACGTGACAGGAACTTCGTTTTAAGTACGATTTGAAGGAAGACAATATTTTTATGACTGTTTTCTTTTAAAAAAGTAACAAGGCAATCTTTCTTGATCCAGTGTCCTCCAGATCTATGTCATAGTCTCTTAGTCAGTATAACCTTGTTGGATGTTAAACTCCAGTACTTTTTGTAAATAACAGTTTGGAATCACTGATACGATGTAATATATCTTCTGTCTTTATAAAAAGACACTGGTTGTTTTTTGAGCTTCAATTTTTCTCCCTAATTTTCTAGATTTGGCAAGACTTTATGTTTGCGTCTGCCCTTTATCCAACCAACCAGCACTACTTAGACTCAGTAAGAGCAGAAATTACTCATCAGGTATGATATTCTTTACATGGGGAGGAAGGTTATGATAAACTATCACAAAGAAGTAAACATTCATGTCAGTTGAAGGTTTATCAACAAGTTTATCTTGCTCAAAGTAGGCTAATCCTACTATTACTCCACTGTTCTCTTCCTTCCTATAATGCATGAAAGATGTTAATGGTTGGTATGCAAACTTTCTATCTAACATGGTTAACTGCCAAAAGGCAAGCTATAATATGAAATTGAGTAACTGAAAAAGTAGAGTAACATTCTTTAAAACTCGTTTGCAGAACACTTATTTCAGAGGTATACAATTCTTGTTCTGTAGTTGGATGCAGCCTGGGGTCTCTCCATTCTCACATCCTTAAAATCTCTGTGAAGCTTCCAAGAGAAATGGGGAATCCTTCCAAGCCTAGTCCCACATGGAGCAAAAAGTGTGTTATGGCCTGTTAATCATTTTTTCCTCATATGGTGAATATTCTCCACATTCATAGTATTCTAAAAGCTTCCACTGGTGCCAAGGGAAACCTCTTAATTATTTTATATGGATATGGATCAAGGAGGAGGAAAAAGAGAAAAGATATGGCAGGAGGAAGAGAGAAAGACATGGGGTGAAGGAGGACTTAATGGATTGTATTGTGGAGAAAAAAAATGGGTGCTTTCTTTTCTTAGAGGAAATACACTGTACAAGTTAATGTGATTGTGGATTACCTTTCATACAGAAAAGTGTTCATTGATTAGCTTGTATGCTTGCTCATTTAATAACCTGATCGTAAAAATTGAAAGTGGGGCAGTATAATTTTGAGCTGGTAGAACCCGCACTTTCATCCCTACCATCTCTGACCTATAGCCAATTCCATCATTGAATAGTTGCTTGGATTTATAGAGTTTTGGATGCATTAAGAAGAAGATACCATTTCTGGGTGCATCGTTGCTGCAAGAGCAACACTGGTGTGAATTCCAACAAAGGGGCAGGATCCAAAGCTTACAAATGGATCCTATAAACTATTCACTGAATTGGACTATAAAACATATTCCTGTTTGAGTTTTGTTCTGATGTCTTCAGAAACAGGTACTTGTAGCTAGTAAAATTTCTTTGAAATCCTTGGATTATTTTCAGGCTACGTTTACTAGAAGCAGGTCACAGTTGCTTTTTGCCCCTCTGGCTTGAATAAACAGAGGGGTTTTTTTTTTGTTCGGGTGAGAGAGATTCTCCTCTGCTGTCTGTTCCCAGGACTGGAAATTGGAAGCACCACAGTTATTATAATTATAAAGGGAGAAACGTATAGTATTAAGGTTCTATGGATTTAGCTAAAAGAGAGGAGTGCATCTACCATAAAGAAGAATGGGTCAACCTATTCTCCAAAGCACCTGAAGGCAGGACAAGAAGCAATGGATGGAAACTAATCAAGGAGAGAAGCAACCTAGAACTAAGAAGAAATTTCTTGGCAGTTAGAACAGTTAACTAGTGGAACGACTTGCCTCCAGAAGTTGTGGGTACTCTAACACAGGAGGTTTTCAAGAAGAGATTGGACAACCATTTGTCTGAAATGGTATAGGGTTTCCTGCCTGAGCAGGGAGTTGGATTAGAAGACCTCCATGGTCCCTTCCAACTCTGTTATTCTGACCATTTTCAAAATGATGATCACTCAGGAGTCAAAATTGTCTCAGCCACTCTTGGGAATGGCTGAGATTGGATCCGTATGGCAATTTTTTTTGTCCCTGGGAGAACATTTGTGAGATTACACTTTCAGTATTCTCACGCAAAAGCTTCCTTTGTCCCTGTTGGCATTGCTGAAAACTTTTCCATTTATCACCCATTCTTTTTCTTCCACTCACCTGTGCCTGCATCACTATGTAGTGTACTCTTAACTTTCTCCTCACAACAAAGTACTTTGCTGCAGTCATCCACATTATATTTTCTAAGAATCTCTCTGAAATCAACAGCACACTGGCTGAGGAATTCTGGGAGTTGAAGTCCATAAGTCATAAAAGGGCCAAGTTTGAAGATCCCTGGTATAACCCATACGTTTATAGATGTTGCAGCCACATGAAATATCCTAAATTATTCTGATATCTCTAAAAAAGCCAAAGAGAGCAGTGTTTTATTGCTGGCTGCATGTTAAATGATTGATATTCATGGTCCCAATGCCTCTACGTATATCTGGCTTAGATAATTTTGCCTTGGTGGAAGAAGATATGACTCGTCTAATCCTTGAACAGGAAGTGACTTTGGAAACTTCCATTCTATTGATAAAAGCTGCAGAACATTGAATGCCCTGTTTATTTCTTCTATCAGAGATAAGCCTGGCTAACAGATTCAAGAGAAATAACTTGGCACGATTGGGCAAGTCTAATCTTATTATTTTTAAGTAATTATTTTAATAATAATAAAATCTTAAACAGGAGCTGGTGTAATGGGACTAGATTCTTCTTCTTTGGACTCTTTAGAACAAAAATCACTTCCAGAATATGAAGAATACCTTCCTTTACACTATGTGACATTTTCAGATACATTAAGACTCTTAGTAAAATTATGCAGGATTTATTTTTTCATTTGTGTCCCTTGTCTTTTAAGATAGCCTTGGTCATGCTTGCTGTGATCACTGGAAGTTGCAATCTTAGTGCACCTGAAAGAAATCAGTTTTAGAAGTATTACTTTTGTTTTGTTTGACTTTAGTTTTTTTCATACAAATACTTCTGATATAAATAATTTGTAATTGTATACAAATTCTTTTAAGTTGAAAGAAGGACTGTTCTTTCCAGGTAAAGCGACTGAAATATCACCCGTCCATCATTTTATGGAGCGGGAACAATGAAAATGAAGTTGCACTTTCCACCAACTGGTTCTCCGTTCCAAGTGCACAGATGAACCTTTATTTCAAAGATTATGTGACACTTTATGTTGATAATATCCGAGAAATTGTTTTTGCTGTAAGTACTGGTTTCTTTTCCCTTATCTAAAAGAGGAGTGACGTTTTAGTTGGTTTTATGTTCTGATAAATTGTGACTTTCCTTCAGAGTATGGAAATGAATAGATTGTTTTGAATAATTTTGCAGGCAAACCCTTAACATTAAAGATGCACTAGATAAAATCTGGAAACATCTGTTTCCTTTGAGTCCTGATGTGCTCAAAATGCGCTGACAACCATTTTATGTTCTGCTTTCCCATTACGTTTGTGTTGGCTTTGTAAGATACGTATTAAAATGATTTCTTCTGTTGATTGCCTATTGTAGCAGGTTAGAAGAGTTTTGCTTGGGGGGAAAAGACCAATGTCCCAATTCGAATATCAGTGTTTGCCTTGGTAAATATGTTTAAAAAAAGATCATACAGTTTTTCACAAAATTAAGAAAAACAACAAATACCTCTTACCCAGCTGCAGTTGGCTGATACACCTTTGGTGCTAGTCTTTCTCAGGGACTGTATGACTCCTGGGGAGATGCATATTTCCTTTTTTTATTTTACAACTAAAGGTGATCTGTTTGAATTGGGACATGGTTAATTTACTAATTATAGCACTATATTAGTGGTAATAATATTTCTTCAGGCATTTTGTAAAAAAACAGATAGGAGATGAAGCCATTGTGTAAAGAGGAAGTTTGTGATCTGTCTTAAAAATGGTGATGATTATCTGGCCTAGTTCGGTCTCCTGGATTCTGTTGGAACGCCTCTGTGTTTTTAGGAATCTTGTCTGACCTCTCTAATAAATCTAATGATATGCTGCTGGTTTGGAAAGAGGAGGCTGTTTTTATCGTGCCCTTGTTATGCATCAGCTTGATGACCTTATTGCATTGCTCACAAGAATACATGACCATGAGTTCTTAGTGTTGAACATACTTATTTTTTTTCCTTCTAAATCAGGCTGGTCCAGGCTTGCCTACCTCCTAAATCAAACACTGCCCAGCTGCCATGCTGTCTGGATTACCGGATGTCTTATCTTTTACATCTTCTTCCTCCCTTCCTTCTACTTTCTTCTTCCTTCTCTTTCTCTTTTCTGAAATCCTAAGCAGACAACAAATCCTGGAAATGTATTATCCCTGCTAATAGCCATTTTATATTAGAATATCAAGGATCTGTTTGGCTTGCCTGGTTCCAAGTTGTGTAGGCCACTTTTAAATGTGTGCTGTGATTTTTTGAAGTTTTCTGAATTCTGACTAAAAATCCAGGAAGCTGTTTATGATAGAAGTACATTATGGGATGCAAACTTTGGGCTTGTCCCACCCACCCCGCCAGAGCATTTGTGCTTCTGGAAGTATTCTGTTGTTGAATAGCTGCAAACCTAATCCGGCAAAAATAGTCTGAAAGGGCTCATATTATTTTTTTTCTTATATATACAAAGGCATTTTGGGACTGGGAAGAAAGGTCTTCCTTGTATTGCCCACACTGAAGTGCTCTGTCTAGTGAAGGAAATAATTAACTATTGGAAAAGAAGTATAAACTTCAGAACTGGCTTCCCCTCTTGAAAAAATGTACAACAGATGATGCAATTTAATATCATTCTCTGACACTTATAACAGCTGCCCATGCAGGCAATTGTCATGGCTTCATTCACACACAGCCCACTGAGAATAAAGCACAGCAGCAGCTGCCCAGAAGAGAAAACTGTTGCTAGAGCCCTGTGCTTATAGGGGATGAAAGGGCTTCACCAAGGAATGGATTAGGAGGTGAATTCTTTTGCCCAGTTTTCTGTTTCATTCCCTGTAATGATAGAATGAATTCTGGATATTCCACATACTATCCATATTGAAGATGGAAGGAATCAGCTCCCTTCTGGATTACCTTGGTTATGAGAGAAAAATATCTTCTACTTCTGTGGTTATCCTCAAAGTTGTCTTGCCTTTCAATGAAAGAGCCAAGTTTGATAGCTAAAATGGTGGATGTTACATACATAGGAAATTATGCACAATAGTTAAGAGGTAAACTGAGAAAGGGTAAAAGCTTCATTTGTTCTACAGGAAGTAAATATAATAAGTTTTTTCCTTGGAAGATGTAAAAGACTTAAATAAAACTGGGAGGGGAAAATTATGTAGCCAGTGCCTAACTGATGTAAAAGGAATAGTATCTTTGTTCCCTGGAAGTACCTTGTTGGCCCTTTCTCAGTTTTTCCAAAGGCATTTCCAAAGAACTATTGGTTCCATCCCCTGGAGCTCACTTTTTTCCTGAAAGCGAATAACTAACAAGTATTCTGTTCCACTGGCCAAAGGAGACGTATAAAAATCAACTTCCAGCCAGCATCTCCTTTCCTCTCCTTTTGCTTTTGCAGTTTCTTTCTCTCTCATATTCCTCCCCCCACCCACTCCCCGCTCTTTTATCGGCAAAAGAAACTTTGGAAAAACCACATAACCTTGTTGTGGTGCCTTGAGTTCATCAGGGAGAAGGAAGAATTGATAAGGCAGCATGACATGGTGTTCCCACTTTGCATTAACACTAGGATGACACCTTGGCAATGTACATGGCTGAACTGAGTGGGAAGTTAATCGGCTCTACTGTAAAAGAACGTGAAGAGTGGTGTTTTTAAGAGATGCAGAGGGCATCCTGGATTAGTGACTAAGACTATGGAGATTCCCAGTCATCCAGGTCATAGTTATCCCAACGGTGCTTTTTTAGAAGGCAACTGGACTTTCTTGTTTTTCTTTGAAGACGTTTTGCTTCTCATCCAAGAAACTTCTTCAGCTCTGACTGGATGGTGGGGAATGGAAGGATTTATACTCCTTGCAAATAGCTGGTCATTTGCATTCTTTTAGAGAGTCATTGAGGCCACCTGGAGGTTTATCTGTGTCATTAGGATCACCTGAGTAGTACAAATGGACGTGGAGCGTTCTTGGAACTGCTGAAAGGACTGTGTTGTAGACTGGAGATAGATGATGTTTTACCCCTCCCCCTCTGTTGAGACAGGGCTGTTCAGTTTTGACATAGCTGGCCTCTTTGACCCCTCTTTCAAACCAACGGTCCTCTCTGTCCAAAATGTGGACTTTGCTGTCTTCGAAAGAGTGGCCTTTGTCTTTTAAATGCAGATGGACTGCTGAATCTTGTCCTGATGGGTTTGTTCTCCTATGTTATGCCATGCATTTATAAAGTGGTTGTTTTATTTCCCCAGTGCACAGATCTGCACATGACTCACAAACTGAGCAACATGGTATATGCAGTAAAATGCAGTGAGCCGTGTGTAGATCTGTACAATAAAGAAACATTCAATTAACCAGAAATGATAGAAATGACCTAGTATTCTTGGGAAAAGAGACCATGATTCATCATGAAAAATCTGCTGTTGGCTTTTATTTTCCAAATTGCAGTTTGCCTAGGTAGTTTTTATAGCAACTTTCTTTTATTTCTTGATGCTAATTATCCTATTATGTCTAATCTTGTTCAATATAGGAAGATCAGAGCCGTCCTTTTATTGCCTCAAGCCCTACCAATGGATTGGAGTCAGTCAAAGAAGGCTGGTTGGCTCGTAACCCTTATGATACCCATTATGGAGATACCCATTACTACAATTATCTGAATGACTGCTGGGATTGGACCCTTTATCCCAGGGCTCGGTTTGCCTCTGAATATGGCTTTCAGTCATGGCCTTCCTTTAGCACCTTGGTACAGGTAAATAAAAGCCAGTTGTCTTTTCTCACTCTCTCTAGCCCATTTTGTGAATGTAACACAAGACTTAGGGAATCAGCTCAAGGATCCATCTGGTCCAGACTTAGGTCACAACACCAAATAATAAGATTAAATGATGTGGAACCAAGTACCTATTTTATCCCGTGCTTCGAATAAAACCATATAAAATAAGGTGCTACATTTTCAACTCAGAACTCTCAACAGCCTTCGCTACATCAAAGTGGCTGGCTGGGGAATTCTGGGAGTTACAATACACACATCTGAAAGCTCCTGAGATGGAGAAACACTGACCTTGACCTTTGGGAACCTAATAGATGGATTCAGAGGTTGAATATTGTTTAGATAGATTCAGTAGACTCAGAACTAAGATTTTCCTTGGATTCTCAGCTGGAGCTGGAGCTGATAGTGGTGGTAAATTGAGTATCTGCTGAGATCTTTTAGTTACTTCTCTTCCCCTGCTGATGCAGTTTGCGTATTTAAACATCGGCATATTAAAGGCATAGATGCACACATGAAAATGGTGTTCAATTATGCTCTGCCACACCTAGTTGACACAATTCACTTTAAGGAAGAAAAAAAAAATCCTTACCTCTTGTGTCTCCTCCATTTCTTCAGTAGAAGGATGTGTGGGCACACGCTTGGCTTTAGAGAGAAGCCAAAGCTGCAGACTTAAAATAGCATTTATTTCTTTGTTTGTCGGGCATGCCTGTGTTACTTTGTAAGCTCAAAAACAAAAAGAAGCATAAATTCTCTAAAGCTTCTCTAACTGGTTGCTTGGAGGCAGTTCTAATCCAACACAGGATAGCTGACAAGTCTGCACACGGTTTTCTTTTTTTCCAGTTTAAACCAGTAGCCTGTTGAATGAATATAGGACACGGTTTGCTGCCTGAAACTGATTTCTGAGGTTGTTGTATGATTCGTAGCCCATCTGAGAGTCAACAAGGTGTCTTGGAGAATTCAGAAAGTAATGCTACTTTGAAAAATCTTCTTTCATAGAAACAAAAAGGTAGAACAATTTGGATTGGAAGAACGAAATTATGATTCCTGGATCTAAATACAACATTGGAAACAATAGGTCTATTTCAGCTTTACAAAAATAAATGAGCTATCACAATTTAAGGCAATTACAGCAATTTATAATTATTGTTTTTTAAAAAAAGAGAGTCATCCTGGGGGCTATTCCCTTCATACTCCCAAATATTTAATAGCTTTTTTTAGAGTCCTTGTTTTAGGTGAGGATATTATATCATTTGAATGAATAAACAGGATATTGATTTTGAAGTACCATATATGATTTTTAAAATGCATGCATTTTTGAACGCTATTCGTGTTCTTATAATCATACGAATGTACTCTTTTTAAGTTCAGGTTTCTGTAGAGGAAGATTGGTCTTATAAAAGTAATTTCTCCCTGCACCGACAGCATCATGCTGGAGGTAACGATGAAATGCTTCAGCAGGCAGGGCTTCACTTTAAATTGCCTCAGGTAGTAAATCCAGTTGAGAACTTCAAACAGACAATCTATCTCACCCAGGTAAGGATGTGTCAGAATGTTAACAATGACCTTAAAAAAATAAAGAGTTAATGTAAATATTTTGAAAAATATGCAGCAAATAATCTGTTCACATTTAACAGAAGCTAATTCTTGGATCTAACAACAAAATGAAGTTCTCTCTCTCTCTCTTTGTGTGTGTATAGTGTGTGTGTGTGTTTGTATGTGTAAATACACATACTGTATTTACGTAAAATCTCTTCCCATTCTTTGGGTGATATCTTGGATTTGGGGTTCTACACAGGATCTTAGCTAAGTAACTAGCTAAGCAGTTATGTTAGCAGCTAAGCAATAGCTATAGCATTTAGATCACCCCATAGTGCTTTACAGCAGTCTCTGGGCAGTTTACAATGTCAGCATTATTTACATATTGCTCTCAACAATCTGAGTCCTCATTTTACCGACCTCAGAGAGATGGAAGGCTGAGTCAACCTTGAACCAGTCAGGATCCAACTCCAGGCTGTGGGCAGAGTTAGCCTGCAATCCTGCATTGTAACCACTGTGCCACTACGCCACCAGGTAACTAAGCAGCTAGCCTGCACTCTTCCAGACAGAGAGCTATTGTTTTTCCTGGGATCTGTTGGCACCAACTCTCCCAGTTTAGGAGCCACAGTCTTGAGTGATCCTACCACCACTTGGACCACTTTGGCCTTTATTTTCCACATGCTCTCTAGTACCTCCTTCAGGCTCTAATGCTTTCCCAGCTTCTCATAATCCTTCTGTATTTCTTTTTATATACGTCTCTTCCAAGTGTATAATTTCTCTGAAGGAAAAAGTGTGTATGCTTACATGTATGCTGCATGTAAAGGTAACACAAACGCTTCTTGTAGGCTTTGTACTCTCCATGTAAGGACTTATGACTTAATTCAGTGAAATTGGATTAAATTTCAATCCAAAAGTCAGCTTTTGCTCAGCACAGCTCCTGAGGGATTGCTTTTCAAAACCTGGGGACAGCATTGGAGAAGACCCTCTCAATATGAGCTTTAAAAAGGTAGTAGGAAAGTGAGGGGAATTTTAAGAAAACCTCTTTTGTTGACCATATTGTCTACCAAGTTTTACATTGAGATTGGTGATCTCTCCAATAGTCTGATTTCAAACCATGACTTAAAGGTCAAAACCTAGAACATTGGGGTCTGGAAAACTATAGTAGCATGGCTGAACCCATAATTGGAACCTCATTTCCAAGAAACTTTCTGAATCTTTACATTTTGGCTGTGCCTTCTGCCTTGGATTAGTCTTGGTGACTCCCTCTGTTACTTCCCAGCTTCCATAGAGACATCTGGGGTCCTCCCCCAATCGAGCATATAAGAAAGATACCACTTTCATCTCCTGTACTCTCTTTTTAAAGGCGAAAAAGGAAGAAAAATAATTTATATAATTTAGAGTCTACCTTGTCTGAATGACAAATTCACAAAACCAAGCTTTTTTTTTTTAATGGAGAAGATAAAGTACATGAAATCTTACTGTAAAATTTACAAATGTACCTATCTGCAGGGTTCCAAGCAGACCACAAGATGGCGCTGGCTTGAGTTTTCTGGCTAGTGAGTTCAAGCAAATCCTATTGAAAAAATGGCTGTTATTCATGTTTTGCTTTATGAGAGTATAGGAATGGAGTGATTGAGGTTACACTGAATTTCTTACTTTTGCAGAAATAATAAGCATAAGATATAATAAGCCTTAAATAACACATTTACACTAAAATGTGTAAAAAAAAAATCAAACTACCAATGCAACTTCCTGGCTAATTACTTCGAGATTTCTAGAGGCCTTAGAAATAAAGAGATTCTTGAAACAAAAGCCTCTCTCTCCCCCAACCTCCAAGCTTCTTGTAAATTCTATACTTTAATCCAGTGTTTTTCAACCTTGGCAATTGTATGATGCATAGACTTCAGTTCTCAGAATTCCCCAGTCAGCATAATTCCCCAATCAGTATAAGTCCATGCATCTAAAATTTGCCAAGGTTGAAGAACACTTTTAATCAAAGGCTCAGGAGAATGTGGCTAGTTTCCCCTTTTCGTAGCCCCGTTATCGAGGTTTGTCCTTTGTTTTCAAAGGATCAAAACTTTTAAGAGGGGACTGGGAAAAATATGATCTGTGTATGTGTTTCAAAATGCACATCTCCCTTTTGTGAAAATGTAGGGTCTCTGTCTGAAATTAATGAATGTCTATCCTGTGTCTGGCATTGGTTGCCAGTGTTTGCAATATTTGTGGTTTCTAGATAGGCTATAGAGTATTGTAGTTGTCAAGTGGAAGTGACCAAGGGATGGGAATGTGTTCTGAAGTGTGATTATCTCAGGAACAGCTCACGGGACATGATATAGTAAGTATGCTTCCCATTCCCACCATCCGAAATCAAGGACCAGTCCAAGACGATGGATCTGTTTTTTCTGAGGGATTGTAGCCTTATCCAGAACAGAATGATCCTAAAGCCTAGAGTCCAATTTCCTATGATTACTACGATCTCTCCATTTTGTCTGGACTTAAGTTCTGTAAGACAGAGGTCCCCAACCTTGGCAACTTTAAGACCTGTGGACTTCAATTCCTAGAATTCCCCAGCCAGCCCTGCTGGCTGGGGAATTCTGCGAGTTGAAGTCCACAGGTCTTAAAGTTGCCAAGGTTGGGGACCCCTGCTATAAGACATCATGCAAATTCATTCATCTATACACTAAACAGCATGAAGAATAAGGTAGAACTCAGTGGAACACCCCAGTCCACCTTCTTAGGCTCTGAATTATAACATCCTAGCCCTCCATAAGACATCATGGTGAATTATATCAAAAACCATGGTGAATTAAATCAAAAAAGATTTCCAAGAAATCACATTGAGCCAGATTGTTCTTCCCAGTTCCAGGAGTAGGCCAGTTCTAGGAGTAGTCTAGGTAATTTTACTTGCATATTTGAATTGAAAGTACAATTGAAATGGGTCCAGATAATTGATATCCTCCAGATCTCCTGATCTTTGAATGAAAAATGTTCTCTTAATTATAAAAACTTGTCTGTTTCTAGGGTGGTTGAAACCTGTGTTTTTTTTATATATATCCCAAATTAGATCATGCAGGCCCAGTGTGTAAAAACTGAAACCGAGTTCTATCGTCGCAGCCAAAGTGAGATAGTCAACGGGGAGGGACGAACTATGGGTGCCCTTTTTTGGCAACTAAACGATATCTGGCAGGGCCCTTCCTGGGCTTCTCTAGGTAAGACTAAAAATAAAAACAGTGGTTGTGCCGAGTTAAAATATGGGCTTTAAAATTCCCTGTCTTTCAATATAGTCCCATTTTCTCTTAAAACGCTGAAGGCAGTGTATGAGTTTCTCAACCAAATTTTACTTTGTGAGTTAGCGTGGACTGAAAGATAAACTACTTAGTCAACTTCATGACTAACAGCGTGACTAGTTTTCTCTCACTTTTTTTTTTTAATGCCTTCACGTCTTTGAATCAGTGTTGACGCCTGGCAATTGCCTAAACATGTATTGCCTGTAATGTTCTTGGCAACATTTCAAGGTTGAGAGAGAGTGACTGGCCCAAGGTCACCCAGATGGGGTTGTGCCTAAGGTGGGACTAGAATCGATGGTCTCCTGATTCCTAGCCTGGTGCCTTAACCACTGCACTAAACTGGCACTCCTTCATTCACGTAGTCCAGTGATGGAGAACCTTTTAGAGACCAAGTGCCCAAAAACTGGCCCCGCCCCCACTCCATCCCCTGCCCCGCCCCCGCCCCGCCTGCCCACAGGGCCACTCACCGCTTTCAGGGACGCTGCAGATTGCCCAGGCAGCCCAGCAGTGCCATGGTGGCCACCCCTCTGCCCGCACCCCGCAGCATCAACTGTGCATGATGGTGTGTGACGGCAGAGTCTTGTCTATGCTGCCTGGCTGCCATGTTCTTGGCTGTGCTGCTCCGCGTGGGCCATGCTCAGGGGCGACTTTCCTCCAGGGGGGCTGCTAGTGAGGAGGGGGTCACGGGGGGAGGCAAGGCTGGGGCAATGGCACATGTGCCCACAGAGAGGGCTCTGAGTGCCGCCTCTGGCACCCGTGCCATAGGTTCGCCACCACTGACGTAGTCTATAACACTAATGATTAATTTGCTGTATTTTTTTGTTTAAAAAAGAATTTAAAATACAAAACATTTTTAATTGAAAATTAAACTTAGTCTCCCTAACTGCTGAGGAGGGGAAAGGTGTGAAATGACTTATGCTTCTTGTCTTTATTTCTTAGGATGAGTCCCCAATATAGCAAGTACAAATTTGCATCTCATCCAGGCAATAGAAAGCTGCTTTTTTTTTCTTTTGTTGAGCAAAGATGTAGGAGGTGCAGAAAACAGGAATTTTAATGAAGTCTTTGTGTTAACCTTTACTATTTATACAGGAAGTTGTCCTTGATTTGGTTTAGACAGATTCTTCCTCTCAGGGGATGTTTAATAAGAGCTGTAAAATGAGAGAGACCAGCAAAACTCTCTGAAACAGATTTGGGATCTTGAAGTTTTCCAGATGTTTCAGAATTGCAGTGCTGGCAGGACGACTGGAAGGTGTTTAACAACATCTAGAGAAACAGGAGTTACAGGTAGTCCTCGACTTACAACAGTTCGTTTAGTGATCATTCGAAGTTACAACACACTGAAAAAAGTGACTTATGACCATTTTTCACACTAATGACCGTTATAGCATGTGATTTACATTCGGATGTTTGACAACTGACTTACATTTATGATAGTTGCAGTGTCTGGGGGGGTCATGAGATCCCTTTTGCGACCTTCTGACAAGCAAGTCTACGGGGAAACCAGATTCATTTAACAACTGCTGTGATTTACTTAACAAATGCAGCAAGGAAAGTCGTAAAAATGGAGCAAAACTCACTTAACAAATTTCTCACTTCACAACATAAATTTGGGATCAATTGTGGATGTAGGTTGAGGACTACCTGTACTTTGTCTGGCCCTAAGAAATTTTGGGAGGCCTTCCTTAGCCAGTGATGATCAGATAAAGTGGACTGAATTCCTATAATTTCCAGACAGCATGGGCAGAGGTAATTGCTCTGCTAATACTTACATAAGATTACAGCAGGAATGTAGCTTGTGTCCTCAAGCCACCTCTTATCACTGTTGCTAAAAATTACTAGCAGGAAGACAGAATTAGCAATTGTAGTGTGAGCTGTAAATTAGCATAAAAAGTTTCAAAAATAAATTTTTAAAGCACATGGAAAAGAACCCCCCCAAACTAGTCTTGGGTAACCTGATTTTTGCCAGTTTTTATCATTGGCCCAGTGAGAGAGGGAATTGAAATAATCCTCCCTGCCTTCCTTCCACCTGAAGTCTTATGATTATAATAAAAACATAAAACTAAACTGGAACGAAAGTGTTAAAGGACACATTAAATTAAAATGGTGAGCACTTAAAAGGCTGTTTTTTAAAAAGTGTGGGTGTGTGTTAAATGGCAACAGAGAGGTCAGTCCTCTAGTTCAGAGACCAGAGAAAATGATAGACAAGTCTTGACCTTCAGCCATTGCCAGGTGAGCATCTGCTTCTGTAGGTAAATTTGACCTCAGGAAGTCATCTCCCCTGGTTCTCCTGTGGTTCTCTGTGGCCTATTAAGGAAATACTGTGTCTGACGCTTCAAATTAAAGGCTTCTGAGTCAGCCATCTGTATGGTTTGCATAAACCACTGGTGTTACATTTGAGGCAAATTACAAGCTTTCTTTCCTCACTTTCCATCCTACATTTTAAGGTCACTTTAGCATGATCAATTCAGATCGCACGTTTTGGTTGAAGAAATGAGTCAGTTTTTACTGACATTACACTCTAGCATTTTCATCTTCTGCTGAACTGAAACACAGCAGCTATTAGAGACAATCGCACCTTTCTGAGACATGATGATTATGTCTACAGAGAGAAGGAAATAAATTATAGCATAAATCATGGTATGGCATATTTGTTTTTATGTTTGTTTATTATTTGTATAAACTAGGTTTTCTTTAGAACTCCAGGCAGTATGCTTGGAGGGCTCTATCATTTTAACAGGGGTCCATTTTAACAGACCCCTCTTACAACAGGGGTCCTCAACCTTGGCAACTTTAAGATTTGTGAACTTCAACTCCCAGAATTCCTCAGTCAGCTTTGCTTAAAGTTGCCAAGGTTGAGGACCCCTGTCTTACAGTGCCTCTGGGAGATTGAAAAAGGACCTCGGTCCAAAAGTCTTTTATTATTTTTCATAATCATGCGGGCCACCCCCATAGAGAGGAAAGAGTACTCTTCTGAGACCGGTAGGTAGGGCTTCAAGGTGTTCATTAGTGAGCATATTCCCTATCTGTTCCTTTATTGTGCTCTCAGACCAATATCTGAGTATAGCAATTTCTTTAAATCTATTAATAGCTTCAACTCTTGCAGTTTTTAGAGGAATTATCACATGGGTTGAGTCAGTACTCTAGCATGTATGCAGTAATACATGTACTACTGCATACATGCTAGAGTACGTGCTGTGAAGGTTGAGTTGGGATGGGAGTGGGAAGACCAATGTTCAAGTCTCCACTTGACCATATTGGTTTTTTGGGTGGCTTTGGGCTAGACATGCCCTCTAAGACTGACTACTTTGTTGGATGGTTGCTGTGAGGATCAGATGAACATGAAATCTCATCATATGAAGCTTGAGTTCTCATGAGACATGGTAGCCTAATATAATAAGCCAGGAGTTCCCAAACGTGGTTCATGGTACCTTTAATGTCTCAATAATTTTTTTACAATGTAAGTAAAAAAGTTTAGGAAATGGATTGTGATTCCCAAAAGCCCAAAAGTCATACATTTGTTATTCTTTAAGGTGCCACTATTGATGATAGAATAGAATAGAATAGAATAGAATAGAATAGAATAGAATAGAATAGAATAGAATAGAATAGAATAGAAGGGAGGTCTTCTAGTCCAGCTCCCTGCTCAAGCAGGAGAATTTATACCATCTCAGACAAGTGATTGTCCAGTCTCTTCTTAAAAACCTCCAGTGATGGAGTACCCACGATTTCCAGAGGCAAGCTGTTCCACTGGTTAATTGTCCTCACTGTCAGGAAGTTTCTCCTTAATTCCAGGTTGCTTCTCTCGTTGGTCAGTTTCCAACCGTTGTTTCTTGTCCTGCCCTCTTGTGCTTTGGTGAATAACATGACCCCTTCTTCTTGGTGGCAGCCCATCAAATACTGGAATACTGCTATCACTGTTATTTCTATTATGTACAGGCAGTCCTCAACCTACAACAGTTAATTCAGTGATTATTTGAAGTTACAACGGCACTGAAACATGTAACTTGTGACCATTTTTCACACGACCGTTGCAGCATCCTTATGATCATGTGATCAAAATTCAGGTGTTTGGCAACCAACTCATATTTATTACAGTTACAGTATCCCTGGGTCACGTGATCACCTTTTGTGACATTCTGATAAGTAGAGTCAAAGGGGAAGCCAGATTCACTCAATATCCATGTTACTAACTTAACAACTGCAGTGATTTGCAACAACTCTGGCAAGAAAGGTCTTAAAATGGGACAAAATTCACTTAACAACTGTCTTACTTACCAATAGAAATCTTGGGCTCAATTGTGGTTGTAAGTTGAGGAGCACCTGTACATTACTGCAAAAAAACCCCACCAATATTTGTGAGGCAGGGGTCTCCAATCTTGGTAACTTTAAGACTTGTGGACTTCGACTCCCAGAATTCCTCAGCCAGCCAAGCTGGCTGAGGAATTCTGGGAGTTGAAGTCCACAAGTCTTAAAGTTGCCAAGGTTGGGGACCTCTGTTGTAAGGTGTCCATTCCCAATTTGGTATATAACCCTCCCACACCTCCCATGAAGTTTTGGAATGGCAATTCCTAAAAATCCCAGCAAGCAACTCATCTGGAGATTCCAGATGCTGGCAGCCTTTTCTACGTCAATATATATAGGGACAATCTTTGTTCTCCTCCTGAATGAAGAAAAGAGAGCAGGCTTTTGAAGCCAAATGGCTCCATTTGGGTTCTTCTGAGAAGAGCGTGATGATTTTTTTCTGTTTTGAACCCTTTCTTAGAATACGGTGGCAAATGGAAGATGCTTCATTACTTTGCCAAGCATTTCTTTGCTCCTTTGCTGCCTGTGGCACATGAGAAGGAAAATGTTTTCTACATATATGGAGTCTCGGATTTTCATTCTGACTACAACCTGGCCCTCAAAGTAAGTCCCCTTTTGCTTCACTTTGAAATGAGAGCTAGAGAAGATTCTGGAACAAGGGAAAAGTAAAACTGCCAATTGATTGTAAAACATAGTAGTTTATTGTTTATATTGTTTTTACTGGATTGCTTAATTTTTTTTATCTGACTAAAATGTTCCGAAGCAGCAAATGTTTTCTTTGGTATTTTGATGACTATATTATCTTCTTAAAAGAAGCATGCGAGAAGCGGGAAAGAATTAAATATCTAACATGGTAATTTTCTCTTCTGGTTTTGGCTTTATTTCATACTTTGCAGTGTGAGCCCTGAAAAAAAAATGTCCAAATCAATTTTATAAAGATTTTTTATCTTTCATAACTTTGCTTTTTTCTCCCCTTCCCTTTCCCTTCCCCTTCTTGTCCCTCCTTCTTTGACAGGACAAGGGTGCCATTATTTTTTTTCTTATACTCTTAGGAAAAAAAATGGCGGCAACGGAATTTTGCTTTGAGGCAAAACCTCCAGCAAAATTCTCAGCCTTAAAAAAGAAAAAAAATTTTTTTTAAAGAGGCAAACAAGGGAGAAAACACAAGAAAACCCCTTCTATTTTGATAAGTTTTTTTGTGGTTTTGCCAGATGTCAGTGTGTGGCAATTCATAGCTGACCTTGACTGCTCTCAGAAAAATGTTATGCAGAGTTGAGCCTGGTAAATATGTGCTAGGCTACAAGGCTATCTCAAGGCTGGAGGCTAGACTGGGAAATAAAAAATATAGTTGCCAACAAAAGAAAAGAACTTGGAATGTGTTTATAGAGTCACCAGGAATAAAATTTGAAGGGTTTTTGTTTGTTTTTGCTTTTGACCTAGTACAGGGGTAGGCAACCTTGGCTCTTTTATGACTCGTGGACTTCAACTCCCAGAATTCCTGAGCCAGCATGGCTGGCTCAGGAATTCTGGGAGTTGAAGTCCACAAGTCATAAAAGAGCCAAGGTTGCCTACCCCTGGCCTAGTAGCTCAGCTTCCCTTAGTTTGCTCAAAAGCCAGAAATGAAATAAGATGGCATTCTGTATAGTTATATTGAATTAAATATATTTAGTATTTTAAAGTAAAGCTGTGAACATTGCATGCCCACCAGGTTTTCAGGCATTCCATCAGCCAAGGACCCGGGGTAGGGGCGGAGGGGTAGCGGTCATTATAAGGGAGAGCCTTTGTCCAAGGGAGACCACTGTGCCTCAGATAGACGGCGTGGAGTCGCTCTTTGTGAAGTGGGGGCAAGGGGTGCAAGTGGGCTTGTTGATTATATACCTGGCTCCCTGCTATGTAT